GATTTTTTTTTTTAATTCAGAAAGATGAACTATAAATGAATAGAAGTCACTAGAATATGTGTCACAAGTGTGAGGATTTTTTTGTTTTTGGTGCCTTGAACACTGACAGAAGCCCATAGCAGATGCCCAATATATAATTGTTGAACGAAAGAACATCTCACGTCCAATTTGCATGTGTAAATTGTTTGTCAAGTCTTTTCTCACATTAACCTGAGTCGTCTGGAACCTGAGGAAAATCCTTTTGTCCAAGAAATTTAAATTTAGCACTATTCATAGAGCAGTCATTTGTTCGAATGAACTTACAATGCATTCTTCTTTGTGCTAGAAATGAATCAGGCATGGCTTGTTCTCTAGAGCACCCTCCCTCCCCCACCTGCCCTCCACCCAGGAATGTCCGGTTCTAATGACACACCCCAGCGTGTCTCTCCTCCTCCCGGTGTGTGTGGGTGACTTTGGGGGAGTGTGTAGTCAGGGTAACCAGGGACCACAGGTGGACCACCTTGGGAGGCAGGGTTTCCAGGTAGTCTGCGTTTCACTGTACCTGCGTGGCCTTGGATGCTTTGCGCTTGCTGATCCCTCTGTCCCGGGCCTTAGGCCTCTCCCTTGGCTTGTCCAACTCTCCTAGTCAAAGAGAGAAAGTGTACTCTTTGGAGAGTGTCTTCCAGTATACTCTGTCTCCAGACACCCTGTAAATTCTGATTCCTCTCTATTCTTGTAGAATTTTGTTCCTCTCACCCTTTCCATGTTGTTTTACGGTTAGTTGTATAAAGTGGCACTAGCTTGTAATTTCTCGGTAGAAGAAGATCATATTTTATTCTTTTTTGTATCCTCAACACCCAGCCAATACTAGGAACAAAGTAAATGCTTCTGGAAGGAAGGGAGGCGGGAAGCCTGTCCCATCATTGGGCTCAGGCTGCAGATGGGTAAAATAACTGTTGCTGATTTCTTAATATTTAAGTATGGGTGTGTGAACTTATGTTTAACCCAAAAGAAAGAAGTAATCAGGATTACATTCATCATTTGGATATAATTTCCATTTACAGACTCAGGATAGTAAATATAATGAGGCCTAAAATAAATGCTGTCTTTCCTCTTTTAAAAAGATAAGGAATTTGAATGCAAATTGTAATGTTTTTCTTCAGAGAGGAATGATTTGCCACTCTTTAATTTGATAAAGTTCTTTATACTTCAAAAATAGACTCAGGCTTTAAATATTAATAAACTTCAGAGAGCAGGAATCAAATCCTCAACTTTTCATGAATTAATTATCATAATTTTAAAACTCCAGTTTTATAAAGCGAATCATAAATTGCAAAATGGCTTTTCCAAATTGTGTCTTTTTGGTATAATTCATATGAGTAAATAAAATTTTATGTATATTAAATTGAGTATTAATACCATAATTTGAAGTTCCCTGTTTCTTGTTATTGTATAACTTTATACATTTTTTTGCATTCAGTAAAATGACGTGTTTTTTTTGTTGTTTGGTTTTTTTTTCGGTACGCGGACCTCTCACTGTTGTGGCCTCTCCCGTTCCGCACGCTCAGGCTCAGCGGCCATGGCTCACGGGCCCAGCCGCTCCGCGGCATGTGGGATCTTCCCGGACCGGGGCAGGAACCCGTGTCCCCTGCATTGGCAGGCGGACTCTCAACCACTGCGCCACCAGGGAAGCCCATGACGTGTTATTTTTAATCAACTTTTATTTTTATCAAAGTGCTGTTTGAATAGTATAAAAGATCAAATATTGCTAAAGGTAACTTTTATAAAACAGCAGTCTCTTTTCTTTACCTTTCTACTCCCATCATCTGCCAAGTAATCAATTTCAACTTTTTTAGATATTTTCTCTGATTTTACTTTCTTATTTCTAAATAATATGCATAATATATACTGGTATCTCTTGAATCATCGGAATAGACTTACCTGTTGATTTCCAATTATAGATAACAAGGATTTTAGCTCAGGTATACCACTCTTTCCACCATCTTCTCAATGAAATTATATCTTAAATATCTGTTAAATCTATGTTCAGTGTTTTCTTAATTTTGACAATGTATGTGTAGTACATAGTATGTTTTTGCATCAAGTAGCATGATTATATATCCTTTCTTACATAACTTGTGTTTTTTGGAGTTAATAATTGCCTTATTTGAAGACATTTTCTTAATTTCCTTTGAATATCTGACTAAATATTCCCATATCCTCAATAGCTCTGTAAAATGTCTCTCATTACATTTTATACAAAACATGTTAAATAACTGAAGAACTACATCCTGGACCCCCAGCCTGCTTCAGTCCAAGACAGTCCTAATGCCTCCACCTTCTGGTTACAATCTAGATGCTTCCATTGTGGGCCTTTGCTCCTCTGTTGTATTGGAACTTCCACTGGCTATCACCCTGGGGATTCCTTTTGCCTCTATTAGATCCTCTGTTTCCTCAACCCCCATGTATCCCAATATCCCAATACCCTCCTTCTAAAGGGAGCCCTTTCGTGTGACTGTGGTATGTGTGTGTGCACATTCCCAAATAGCTTCCTAAGAAAGGTGCTTGGGAAGGACATGTCTAGAGGTCTAAATTGTCTCTTTTCTACCCTCTCACTTGATGGAGAGTAAATATTTCCTTTGGAAATGTGAAGGTGCAGCTTCATTATCTTCTACCTCCCATTCAAGAAGTTTGATGCCATTCTTACACTCTTCTGCTCATTAACTGTCTCCCCCTAACATCCACCCCAACCCGAACTTTTAGAGCCTTCTGTTTACCACTAGTGCACTAGTGTTTGAAATTTTATGATAATGAGTCTTTTGGATTTTTTTTTTTTATTGCTTAATGGGTTTTTTAAACTTTTTTCTTTATTTTTATTTATTTATTTGTCTTCTATTCATTGGGCTGGATATCCAATGGGCCTTTTTCTGAAAAAAGGCTCATGTTCTTCAGCCCTGGAAAATTCTCTTATGTTATTTTATTAACACTTTCCTTTTCTTTCTTTTTAAATTGATGGCTTACTTTTTTTGTTGTTTTTTTTTTGTTTGCGTTGGGTTTTTGTTGCTGTGTGTGGGCTTTCTCTAGTAGCGGAGAGCAGGGGCTACTCTTCGTTGTAGTGCGCGGGCTTATTGTGGTGGCTTCTCTTGTTGCAGAACACAGGCTCTAGGCATGCAGGCTTCAGTAGTTGTGGCGCATGGACTCAGTAGTTGTGGTGTACGGGTTCTAGGGTGCACGGGCTTCAGTAGTTGTGGCTCGAGGGCTCTAGAGCGCAGGCTCAGTACGGGGCTTAGTTGCTCCACGGCATGTGGGATCTTCTTGGACCAGGGCTCGAACCCATGTCCCCTGCATTGGCAGGTGGATTCTTAACCACTGTGCCACCAGGGAAGTTCAACACTTTTCTTCATCATTCTCTTCTGTTCACCCTTTCTGGAGCTCCTATTATTTAGTTGTTGGGCCCCCTGGATTGACCAATTAATTTCTTAAGTTTTCTCTCTTATTGTCCAGTTATTTGCCATTTTGCCCTAAGTTTTGGATTCCCTAACTACATCCTCTACTTTTCTACTGGGTTTTCCAGTTCTGCCATCCAATTTTTATTTCCCTAGTATTTTTGTTGTTGTTGTTCTCTGAATATTCTTCTTTTTAAAATGACCATTTTTTTTCCTGTTTTATGGATACAATATTCTCTTATTTCTCTGAGAACAGTAATGCCTTTTTTTTCCACATTTTTCTTCTCCCTTCATAGTTTCAGTGTCCTCTGAGTTCCTTTTTTTAAAAACCAGGTTTATTGGAAGTGTAATTTGTATGCCATAAAATTCACCCATTGTGAGTGTCTAATTCACTGATGTTTAGTATATTTATTGAGTCAGTCAACCATCACTGCAGTCCAGTTTTAGAACATTTCCATCACCCCAGAAAGGTCTCTGGTGCCCGTTTGCAGTTCATCTCCATTCCTAACCCTAGTCCCAATCAGCCAATAATCTGCTTTCTGTCTCTACCCATTTGCGTTTTCTAGGCATTTCGTATAAATAGAATCATACAGTATATGTTCTTCTGTGTCTGCTTTTTCACTTCACGTGCTGTTTCTGAAGGCCATCCTTGTTGCAGCATGCCTCAGGAGTTCATTCCTCTTTATTGTTGCAGAGTATTCCCTTGTGCTGATGTACCACATTTTGTTTTGACATTCACCAGTTGACCAGACGTTTGTGTAGTCTCCACTTTGGAGGAATTAGAAACATCTTTTTGTTATTTTAATATTTTATTTTGTTCTCTGTGTTTCACATTAGAGAATTTTTCCCAAATGTATGACATTCTCTAGCAGTCTGCTCATATTTGGAAAAAGAGGCCAAATAAGTTACTTGGAAGCTGTAAGTGTGCATGGTGGGCGGTGGTGAAGTGGGGGCTTCTTTGTAATTCTTTGGGGAAATCTTCATATCAGTGTTTTTCATCCTTTTCTCTTGGGCTGGTGGTATTTTCCAGAAAAGACTCTTCCAGTGTCTTGGCTGGAGGGTATAATCCTAGCTTCCAGTATTCCGGGAGTCGAGAGGAGGGAAAAAGCTGAAATGTCCCAAATTCTAGGACATAAAACTCTTACTTAATCCCCCTGTTTTCAGTGGGAGATCCCTGCCTCCTTCAGCTGTGCTTGGTGTCCCTGAGTCCAGAGACCCTCTGTTTTATTATCTTCTACTGCACAGAGTAGAGAAGGAGATCTGGAGATGCTTTTTAAATAGACTTTCAAACAGTCTTTCTATTCTTAGCCCTACCATTATCTTCTCCCCACCCCCCACCATTCCCACAGCTATCTGGTGCCAATTTCTGAGCCTCTGGGCTTCTGCCATGTAAAGTAGGGTACCTCCCTTCTCTGCCCACTGCCAGTTTTGGATTAGCTTTCTTGCATCCACTAATCCACCTACCACTTTTTCACCTACTTTGCAGTATCCGAAATTTTACTGCTCTTGTGTTCTTTCCTGTTATTATTATGGGTTTGTGCTTCTATAGAAATCCTTTTACTCTTATTTTCATAGCATTTTCATCACGAAGAGAATATTTATTCAACCAGCCATCTTTATTGAGAATCTCAATTTAATTCTTTAATGAAAAATACAACTTCCAGTTCCAAATAATTTATGTAAATACCTCACTCTCAAGGAAGTACTGAATAACCCACCACTCTTTAAATGTGAGCTGCACATAGTGACTTCCGTCCAAGAATACAGAACAGAAAGGGGTGAGGGAGGAATAGCTTTATATTGGAGATACCTGACGAACCCTCCCACAGCCTGGTGATCAAGGTCAACACCAACAGTGATAAATCATGCTGATAGTATGCGCCCTTTGTGGTCTCACTCCCCCAAACCTGTAACCTCAGTCTCATCGTGAGAAAAACATCAGATAAATCCCAATAAAGGGACAATCTACAAAGTACACAACCACTACTTCTCAAAACTGTCAAGGTCATCAAAAGCAAGGGAAGATTGGAGAACTGTCACCACCAGGAGGAGCCTAAGAAAATATGACAAATAAAGGTAATATAATAACCTGGGTGGCATCCTGGAACAAAAAAAGAACATCAGGCAAAAACCAAGCAAATGTGAAGAGTGTATGGACTTTAGTTAATATTAATGTATCGATGTTCATTAATTGTGACAAATGTGCTGCATTAATGGGGACTTAGCAGTGGGGCATGTGGAAACACTTTACTATCTTTGCAACTTTTCTATAAATCTAAAATTATTCCTTTTAAAAATTTATTTAAAAAATAAAAATAAATGAACCTCTAATTTATACTTTGGCTATTTATTGACAACTTTATGTTGATAGAAATGTACCAGGAATTATCATTTTACAATTTGACTCATATCTACCTCACACCAAAACCATTAGCAATCTGTTCTAATTTGTGTATTTGAATGCTTTATTCATTCTCTTTTCCAAATACTTATTGAGCAATACTATGTTCCAGGAAATACACCTGGTGCCGGGCTATAGAGATTAATAAAATATGATTCCTGTCCCACAAGAAGTTTACATTCTGGGAACACAGACCGTCCTAGAACACTTGTATTCCACTTCTCCAGAAGCAAACAAGCTACAATGAACACATTTTGCTATTCCTATTAAGAGTACAAAGAAAATAATAGCTGAAATTCTTCTCTAGCTTTTAAGTGCTTTTGTTTAGGTGAGACATGGAATTCATTAAAACTGCATTATCAATTAAGAAACATGCAGGAATGATTAGCTTAAAACCTGGTAGACAGGAGCGTATTGACAACCAAGAAACAGAACTTCCTTCTTTTTGACATGACGACACATCCCCTCACCAACAACAACATTAAGCAGCGCCTCATCAAGAAGGTGCAGGAAGCCGTTCTCGACAAATGGGTGAACGACCCTCACCGCATGGACAAGCGCCTGCTGGCCCTCATCTACCTGGCCCACACCTCGGATGTCCTAGAGAACGCGTTCGCACCCCTCCTGGACAAGCAATACGATTTAGCCACCCAGCGGGTGCGGCAGCTCCTGGACTTAGACCCTGAGGTGGAGTGTCTGAAGGCCAGCACCAACGAGGTGCTGTGGGCAGTGGTGGCCGCCTTTACCAAGTGACGCTGCGCAGAACCTAGCGTCCTCCTTTTTCTCGCAGGATCATTTTTCTTCCAGGGACTCCTGGTTTTCTGCAGTTTGTACTTCCCACACTATAATTGGTTTTCGTTTTATGAAATGGTGGGTGGCTTTTCCTGTTGTTGGTGTGTACCTTCAGGAAGCTGCTGGTATGAGAGACCTTTCTAAACCTTTTTTAAGTTTAGAAAAAAAAGTTTTACTGCCTATTGTCATTTCATTCCTTCTTGACTTCAAGAGAGTCGCCGTTCTCACTGTAATAGGCTTTGGATTTTTGTTATGTTTACTTTCAAACTACCTCCAGTTTCTTTCTTTCCTTTTTTTGCCGATTTTTGTTTTTTATTGAAGCATAGTTTGATTTACAATGTTGTATGAGGTTCAGGTGTACAGTATAGTGATTCAGTTATACATATATATATATATATATATATATATATAATATATATATATATATTCTTTTTCAGATTCTTTTCCCTTATAGGTTATTACAAAATATTGAGTATAGTTCCCTGTGCTATATAGTAGGTCCTTGTTCATTTCCTATTTTATATATAAAAGTGTGTATATGTTAATACCAACCTCCTAGTTTATCCCCCTCCCCTTTCCCCTTTGGTAACCATAAGTTTGTTTTCTATGTCTGTGGGTCTATTTCTGTTTTGTAAATAACTTCACTTGTATCATTTTTTTTAGATTCCACATATAAGCAGTATGATATTTGTCTTTGTCTGGCTTACTTAGTATGATAATTTCTAGGTCCATCCATGTTGCTGCAAATGACATTATTTCATTCTTTTTTATGGCTGAGTAGTATTCCATTGTGTATTTGTGCCACATCTTCTTTATCCATTTGTCTGTCAGTGGACATTTAGGTTGCTTCCATGTCTTGGCTATTATAAATAGTGCTGCTATGAATATTGATTGAGGTGCATGTATCTTTTCTTGAAACTACCTCCAGCTTCTTTTTCTTTAATTTTATTTATTTTATTTTTATGGCTGCATCAGGTCTTATCTGTGGCACACGGGATCTTCGTTGTGGTGCACGGGCTTCTCTCTAGTTGCGACATGAGGGTTTTTTCTTCTCTAGTTGAGGTGCGTGAGCTCAGTAGTTGTGGCGTGCAGGATTCGTTTCCCCGCAGCATGTGGGATCTCAGTGCCCTGACTAGGGCTTGAACCCCTGTCCCCTGCATTGGAAGGCGGATTCTTTACCACTGGACCACCAGGGAAGCCCCTCCCTCCAGCTTCAAAAGCACATCATTAGCATTTCTTGAGTTTAAGTTTTTCCACAAGTACAAATTCTTCTATATTCTTAACTCACCAAAAGTAAAAAGCTGTACCTATCAAGGTATTTTTCAGTAAAGCTCAATCTAGATGCATACCTTAACAATTTTTTGCTGGCATTATGCTAAGTGACATGAGTCAGACAAAGAGAGACAAATACTGTGTGATATCACTTATGTGTGGAATCTTAAAAAGCCAAACTCATAGAAACAGTGAATAGAACAGAGGTTATCAGGGGCTAGGGGTTAGGGGTGGGGGAAATGGGGAGGTGTTGGTCAAAGAGTACAAACTTCCAGTTATAAGATGAGTAAGTTCTGGAGATCTAATGTACAGCTTGGTGATTATAGTTAATAATACTGTATTATATACAGTAAGGGAGGAGATCTTAAATGTTCTCACCACGATAAAGAAATGGTAATTATGTGATGGAGGTATTAGCTAAGGCTATGGTGGTCATCACTTTGCAATACATAAGCATATCAAATCAATAGGTTGCATACCTTAAACTTACATAATGTTATATGTCAATCATATCTCAATAAAGTGGGAAAAATTTTGCTTTCCATAATCTTATATTTGTATATTTTCACTATTAAATCATAAAAGTAAATTGCTCCATAAAGCTAATTGGGTTGTGTACATCCATTGATGCTGTATATCTTGTGGACTTCACATGAATTTCTCCTCAAATTGCTGTCGCAATACACAGCTGTTACCATAGCTTTATAATAAATCCCGATATCTGTGAGGACCTGTCCTTCCTCAGAATTGTGTTAGTGATTCTGAGCCCTTTGCTCTTCCATATGAATTTTAGGAACATCTTATCAAGTTTCTTGAAATATCCTGTTGGGATTTTGATTGGTATGACATTGGCTGTACAGATTTATTTGAAAGAACTGACATATTTATGATATTGAGTCTTTCTATTTAGGACCATAGCATAACTTTCCGTGGTAAATTAAATACGGCCACAAATTATTTGCAGCTCCTTCTATTAAGAGGTGGAGTCTGTTCCGCCACCTCTTGAATCTGGGCTGGCTTTGTTCTCTGATTTATCCAATAGAATGTGGAGGAAGTGACATCTTGCCAGTTTCACAGCTTGGGACACATAAAGTGATATGGTGTCTCCCTTCATTCTCTTGGAATGCTGCCTTGAGACCACCATACCATAATGAAGCCCAGGACAAAAGGGCATATGGAAAGAGAGACCCAGCTGTCCCAACTAAGTTCAGCACCCTGCCAGATGACCTGCCAGCTGAATGCAGCTGTGTGTATGAGCCCAAGTGAAAGCAGCAGGGAACTGCTCAGCCAACCCAGAGAACTGCATAAAGTGGTGTTGATTTAAGCTGTTAAGTTTTGGGGTGTTTTATTCCACAACAAAGACTAGTTGAAAGAGAAACTAGTACCTAAAAATGAGGTGCTGGGCTTCCCTGGTGGCACAGTGGTTAAGAGTCCGCCTGCCGATGCAGGGGACACGGGTTCGTGCCCTGGTCCAGGAAGATCCCACATGACGTGGAGCAGCTAGGCCCGTGAGCCATGGCCGCTGAGCCTGCGCGTCCGGAGCCTGTGCTCCGTAACGGGAGAGGCCACAACAGTGAGAGGCCCGCGTACCGCAAAAAAAATAAAAAAATAATTTAAAAATAAATAAAATAAAAATTAGGTGCTGCTATAATAAAAACTGAATGCATGTGTCATGGCCTTGAGACTGGGTAGTAGATAGAGGCTGGAAGGGTAGCAAGGAGACTATTAGTAGAAGCTGGAAAATTAGTGAAGAAACTACTATTGAAGTCTGGAAGGATGGTAAACCATGTCTTGTGCTAGTGAAAAAGTTGGCAAAACTGTTACCAACACCACATGAAGCAGAAGAACCACTTGGCCAACCCATAGAATCATGAGAAATATTGAATTGTTGTTTCATTAAGACAATATGTTTTGGGGTCGTTTATACAATAAATAGTTGAAAGACTAATGAGCTTGTGGATCTGATTGTTATGGACTGAATTGTGTCCCCTCAAAAATGTATATATTTAAGAATGGGATACAGAAAAGCCATCTATACTTGTAAACAAGTTTGTCAACTTTGCTGTAGAGTGATCAGGTGGGAGCAATAGGCATCATCTCAGCGAACCCACAAAAGCCAAAATGTGGAGATCTTTTCTCTAGGACCGTTCAATTTCTCCAGGGAGAAATCTCTAATTTCTTGACTACATGGTAGATATCTTGCTGCAGGCATTCTCAGAGAGAATGAGTTGGGGTGGGGTTAAGAGGAATAATAACCATTTTCCTTCTTGATCACCCTACACAAAGAAGGCAAAATGACAAACCCTGATAACAGACCCAGATTTCCCAATTATCATTTCAGTGCCTCATTTGAAAATATAAGCATAACAAGAATCACCAGACATCTCTTTTTCCATCAGTTCTGTTTTCAGCCCTACATCTCATTTTTGTCCACCAATGTACGTCCAGTTTTTGATCCCAGAATTCTCTAGGGTTCTATGAGTCAAATCTTCCTTCTTGTCCCAATTTTCCTTTGGGAGCCCTTAAAGCTATGACTTTCTCTGCCTTTCCAAATCTCATCTACCTTGTTTTCATCAACTGATAGCCCTTTTACCTTTTATTTCATTATTTGGGGCTACATTTTCATTCATTAACTGTAACTATAGAGACATCTCAAGACAGATAAAAAATTGTAAACAACTGTGATCAAATCTTTTTTTTTTTTTTTTTGCGGTACGCAGGCCTCTCACTGTTGTGGCCTCTCCCATTGTGGAGCACAGGCTCCGGACGCTCAGGCTCAGCAGCCATGGCTCACGGGCCCAGCCGCTCCGTGGCATGTGGGATCTTCCCGGACCGGGACACGAACCCGTGTTCCCTGCATCGGCAGGCGAACTCTCAACCACTGCGCTACCAGGGAAGTCCAATCAAATCTTTTTAATGAAAAATATGTGGACACAGTAAGATCTTTTCTACAGAGAGTCAAAAGCATCTTAAGACTATGGTAAAATCAAAGAGAAATGCTTTACAATAATGTAAGAAAGCAATTTTCTTGATGAAATCATATATGCTAAGTTATTTTTTATAATTTATTTATTTTGGCTGCATTGGGTCTTCGTTGCTGTGCACGGGCTTTCTCTCGTTGCGGCGAGCGGGGGCTACTCTTCATTGCGGTGTGTGGGCTTTTCATTGCGGTGGCTTCTCTTGTTGCAGAGCACAGGCTCTAGGCACGTGGGCTTCAGTAGTTGTGGCTCACGGGCTTAGTTGCTCCATGGCATATGGGCTCTTCCTGGACCAGGGATAGAACCTGTGTCCCCTGCATTGGCAGGCAGATTCTTATCCACTGCGCCACCAGGGAAGCCCATGCTAAGTTATTAATTCTGGCTTCACCACCTGCTAGTCATATGATTTGGGGCAAATTATTTGATCTCTCAGAGTCTCAGTTTCCTCCTCTCTAAAATGAGATTAATAATACCTTAATTATTATTGAGTTATGAGCACATACAATGTGCTTAATAAATATATTTCATATTTTGCTTTGAAATTATTAACAAAAATGGAAATTAGTGAAATGCTCATCAAGACTGGTCAAACAGGGAATTCCCTGGTGGTTCAGTGGTTAGGACTCCACGCTTCTACTGCAGGGGCCCCAGGTTTGATACCTGGTTGGGGAACTAAGATCCCACATGTCGTGCAGCCTGGCCAAGAAAAACACAACAACAACAACTGGGAGTAGGTTGGTGACCATTTTGCTTAGTGACATTGTACTAAGAAATCTATTTTCTCTCTTGAGAATCCTCTATAATCATAGCTAATGAATGAAAATATGTAAACCCAAACGATGAGATAAAAGGTAGACAAGCCATTAGTTAATGACAACTAGATAGAGGAATGCTAATTAACTTCGAAAGGCAAAGGAAAGCATAGCTTTGGAGTATTTGTGAAACCATAGATCTTCTTCCTAGAAAAATGTATGGGTGCCAAACATTTTGCAATCAATTTTAAGGGTTTCACAGGCCCCTGAATCCTATCCACTGATTCCTAGTAGAAAAAGTCATCAACCTAAAATAGGACACATGACTTGCTAAATATTTATACTGATACAAAGCACCAAAATGTCAGC